GAATGCAGTTCTCATGAAATAACCAAGCCCCAGTGTTAAAAACTGAGTCACAAGTACTGTGAACCTATCCTAAAATTCTCCTTCCTTGCCTAGTTTTTTCTTACCACTAATAACGACAACAAACAGGGAGCCACCAAGGAACACAGATTCAGGGACACCAAAGCTCTAGGATCCACCCCAGTCTGTGCTTCCCATGTGACTGAGTCAATTATTTAACTTTTTGAGCCTTAATATAAAGTAAATGAGATTACTTAAATACTTAATAGTTTTTACATGGTTCAGATGTTAACTCCTCATGCTATCACCCTCAAGCTCTGTATTCTGAAGTTGAAGATTTGGAATATATGATAAGGTCCTCGAAACTAAAAAGAGAAAAGTGAAGAACATGGATAAAGTTTAACTTGCTTACAAAGAAGACACAGAACATTCTGATAATTTAGAAATGGGCTTGGTGGTTAACTTGAGGCCTTTGATATCTTTGAGCACAAAGAATATACGCATCCAGTTTCCTGGACCACCTAGCTACTGGCAGGTGGCATTAAAAATGTGCTAAGCTCTTATCCAGCTAAAAGTCCGTGTAGAAAAGTTTGAGGTAATTGCTGATTAGAGGAAGGATTTTTAGGAGTGGCTGGAATTTGTGTGACTTATGCCAACTTTATGGAGGGTGGGCTCATTGAGGGTTGAGGCCTCTTACCTTTGGCCTTTGTGTATGTAGTATTATGTTTGGGGAAACCCACACTAAGGCATATAAAGTACATTATCAAAGTAAATTCTTCTTTACTATGAAGAATTTATGTTATCTTCTTCAACTTGAGGACTCTGTACTTTTCTGTGAAGTACTAGCTCTGTAACTGTCAAAGCCAAGAAGTTTTCTGTAATCACCAAGTGTGGATATTAAACCTGTCAACTATAAATATGCATGTTAAAGAAGTACTCCAGGAGGAATCGTCATTTTGCAGCTTCAAATTAAATTTAAATTGTTATTAGCATCAGTTTTCCATCTGGGCAACACTTAGAGAAAAACAAGGATCTGTTATTTAAAGTTTTCCTTTGACTTTAATGAATTACATGTTGGTACTCCCACATTTGGAACATGTTTGAGTCAGTGCTTAGTTTTGGTTTCTAATGATGCTTTTGATTGATTGATTGACTGACTGACTGACTGACTGACTGATTGATGATAGTGCTGGGGATTGAACGGAAGGCTTTGTACATAGTAAGCAAGTGCTTTACTCCTGAGCTGTATCTCCAGTTGTTTTTATATTGAGACAGTGGCTCACTAAGTTGCCCAGACTGAAGTCAAACTTGGAGTCTTCCTCAGTCTCCTAGTAGCTAGGGTTGGAGATATGTGCCACCTGAGGCTTTAGATTTACAAAGATATGTAAATCTTAACCTTGTATTTGTTGCATTTGTACAGCAACATTCAATCAACAAGGAGCTGGGTGTTCTTTTATTCTATTCTTTTATTTTTTGTCTTCCTCCCCAATCCTGTGCCTCTCTACCCCACCCAATTCTGAAAAGGAAATATAGCACATTTAAAATCTGTGCTCCCTGTTAATTGGTAAGAGTAGCCACGCCCTCAAGCAAGTTTGAGAATAGATTGCCATCTCAACATAGTATTTGAGACCCTCCCTTTAATAGCAGTTATTGTGTGCTCATTTGCCTTTTCTGAAGAATATGTATTTACAGTTTCTGTGATGCTATTTTTTGGGAAGGGGTAGGCAAGAGCTCTTGTTCCTTGCCATCTTAGAACTTTTGAAATAATAGTGATGGTATTTAACTGTAGTCTGTAGAGAGGAGGGCCTGTCTCTTAGATTTTCTGAAGATTTGGAATAACACGTTATTTCTTTCTTTCCCTCTCCCTCTCTTTTTTTCTCTCTTCCTCTACCTCTAATACCTTTTGGAAAAGGAACTAAGGAAATAACTGATTGATTGATTGATTGACTGACTGACTGACTGATTGATGATAGTGCTGGGGATTAGCACTATCACACGTGTCTAGTAGCACACGTGTCTTTTTTTTTTTTTTTTTTTTTGGCAGAACCGGGGATTGAACTCAGGCCCTTACGCTTACCAGGGAAGCGCTTATTCTACTGAGCCATCTCCCCGGCCCCCGCACACGTGTCTTTTCATTGTATTTTTTTCAGAATGAAAACAAAACAAAAGATTAAGAAAAGAATCGAATCGCAACTGTTTCTGATATAAGCTACTAGGCATTAAACAGACCAAATACCCTACCGTGGCACTTCCAACTTTCAGAGAAGCAGACTTAAAGTCTTTGTTTTCTCTGGGCCACCTGAGCCCTCAGAAAATGGGTTTAATTTTGCTAATTACCACACACGTTTTCAACCATTTTGCTACAAACTTTGCAAATCTAATTGTTATTCTGAAATAGGAATATCACATCTCATTCTGGCCAGCGAAGATATTATTAATAATAAAACTTCAGCTAGGCACAGGCAACCGCTAGCAACGGTGGAGACATTTTCTGTCTGTGGCCTAAGGCCATGGTGGGAGCTGTGGCTCTCATGCTGCACTGAGCTGTTGGGTGTCGCCGGAAGCTCCGAAGCTTCGCTGTTGCAGATCTAGGGAATGACGAGCCTCAATCACTGCTTCAGTGTACTGAAGTGTACTGGTTCAGTGTACTTTTGGTGATGGGAGCATCAGGGATTGAACCCTCAGCTACATCTCACTGGAGACTTCACACTAAACTACATCTTCCACCCTTTTTTATTTTGAGATCTCCCTGAGTTACAATTTGCCCAGGCAGGGCTTGCGGTTGTAGTTCTCCTGCCTCAGCTCCCAGTGTGCTGGAGTTACAGGTGCCTGGCACTACGCCTTGCTCTTTAGTGCACCTTAAGAATAGGATCTGGTTATTTGTCTGCTTGAATTTAATTCACATAATTTTAGGGAACAAAAACAAGCACAATGGGGCTGGTGAGATGGCTCAGTGGTCTAAAGCACCTACTTAGAACAAGCTTAGCAAAGCACAGGGACCACAGTTCAATCCCCCAGCACCACATGCCAGCCAGCCCCACCCCCTGGTGGGCTGAGCTGGCCACACACACACACACACACACACACACACACACACACATAAATGAATAAATAAAATTTTTAAAAAACACAACAAGCACGCATCAGTGGTTTTCAGTTGTACAAAACTTTTTACTTGTTCTCATAAATCATCAAAGGTTTGGCTGCCTACTAGTATAACCACTATGGAAATCAGTATGGTGAGTCCTCTAAGAATTAAAACTAGGTCCAATTTGGTGGCACATGTCTGTAATCCTGACATTCAGGAGGCTGAGGAAGGAAGATGCCTGCAAATTCAAGGCCAGCCTAAGCTACGAAGTGAGTTCAAGGGCAGCCTGAACTGCATAGTAAATCCCTGTCTCAGAATGACCACCCCCCAGCAAAAAAAACCCTGAAAACTGGAAATTCCATTTGCCTAGATGCTGTGTCTTCCCAAAGAGTTGAAAACATTCTATTACAGTGATACGCGCATACACGTGTCAATCTTGGGTGCAGCCCGTGTGTCCACCAGCAGATGAATGGGTGTAGCAAACGTGGTATGTAAATGCAACACAGTCCTGCTCTGTATAACGAGAACTACACTTGAGTCATTTGCAGGAAAATGGACGCACTTCAGGAAAATAATATTTAGTGAAATAAATGAGATGCACAAGTTTATATGTTACATGGTTTCTCTTATATGAGAAACCTAACTTAACTAAAGAGCAAAATAAAAGACAGGTAATAAGAAATAGGTCATCTTTTTTTTTCCCCCCCCTTTGGTGGAACCATGGATTGAACTCAGGCCCTTGAGCTTGCCAGGGAAGCTCTTATTCTGCTGAGCCATCTCCCCGGCCCCCGGTAATAGGGAATAGGAAGATAGGTCTTCTTCAAATTGGAAGGGAACCAACAGATGGACTAACCATTTTACTACAAAACTTGAAAGTCTAATTGTTATTCTAAAATAAGAATGTCAAATCTAATTCTGGCCAGGGAAGACATTATTAACAATAAAAGTGTTGCCAGGGAAGGAGCAGGGAGGAGGGAAAAGGGAAGGGAGGAAAAAAGAATTAAAATGTGTTAAGTCCATGGACCAACTCCCCATGAAGAAGCAGTGATTGTATACTGCAAAATGTACAAATAAAAAATTAAAATTGGAGTAAAAATTTTAAAAAATAGCTGGGCCTTCACCAGGGAGAAGTAAGCCCTGTCACAATCTCTGATTTTAGGGAAACAGGTTCTCTGGGATGCTGGAGGCCGAGTCGGCTGGAATGAGTGGCTTCGTTGTCATATCCAGCCTGCTGATGCCAGGTGCAGTGTGGGAACCCTAGGCCCTGGCTGTGATCACATTTCTTGCGTGAAGCCACATAGCTTGTGGGTACCAAGTCTTCTGGAATGCTGTAAACACTGAGTATGCCAGTGCATTGAGCCCTGCATTTCTGGCATGTCACTCTCTTGGGCTAGTGTCGTTAGTATCTGTGAGTCTCCATTGAGGACTCAGAACCATGGAAAGCCACATGAAGATGTGCTGCATTTGGTTCTGTCCTTTGTGGGTACCTTCTTTTCAGTACGATTTTTGTCTCTTTACCTAATTTCCTTCTCTCTCTCTCTCTCTCTCTCTCTCTCTCTCTCTCTCTCAGTTTAGGGTCTTAGGGTCTCTTCCTGATAATCTGTGACTCACCAAGGACATCTGTGTTCCTCCAGATTCTCCAAAACAGTAACCTTCTGTAAGGATACAGTGATGCTCAGTGTATGCAGCTTAGTGGTAGAGCACTTGCCTAGTATGTGTAAGGTCCTGGATCTGATCTCCAGCACTGGGCGTGGGGAGGAAGATATAGGAGGAACTTAGGAAAAAATAAAAACTTTCTAGGTAGAAATGTTTCTAAATTCAGTTACTATGAAATTATAATTAAATTGTTGGGTTTTTTGTAGCTATATATTATTACCAATTCTGAATGGATGCTTTCCCCATATTTGTCTTGCAGTGGCTGTAAAATGCAGTGAAAACAAACCTAATCCTCAAGAAGCTGTACAGGTGCTTTCCTCAGTTCGACTCAACTTGCAGGGTTTATTATCTAAAGCAAAGGTGAGAGTGACATGTGAATTAATTAAAGTTACCAAATAGTAAAACATTAGTGCCCACTTACCACTCTTGGATCTTTTTTCATCAAGGATAATTTTAGGCCTACATTATATTTTATATAACATCTTCATGTGGTTGGTTATGAAGATAAGGGTGTCATTGGCCCTATGGTTAAATTATCCCAAATATGAGTAATTTAGGAGCTTTAGAACTTAGTATTTTAAAGAGGGCTCTTCTATTTCTTACTGGTTTTCCCAATGTGCCACCATTGGCACTTGAGTATGCTTTTGAGTTTAAAACATATTTATTTCAGTGCATTTTAGAAAAAATATGACCAGCCCATCAAACCTACAATTTCATGAATACTATTGCTTGTTGCTCATCAACAATAGTTGTATAATGTTTTATTTTATCTAAGTAAAAATTTATTAAGATAAGATTATTATTAAGTAGATGATGTGTAGATTTGGCAAAAAATTGCTCAGGTAGACTCAGGCTTGACAGCTGAAATCTACCAGGTGCCCACAGTAGCACCCTGTGGGCCGGCGCCGGGCAGAGGCATTGCCAGTCACCCGGGCGCAGCGCTGAAGGCAACCTGGGTTCTTGGCCTGTTTGTAATGGGTGTAGATCCAGATCTTGGGAAATCGGTTAAATTCATGTAGTTGTGTTTGGATTATTCCTCTGGAAGAAAAATTTAAAGGACTATAATTTATAGCACAGTTCAATGCTTCTCTTTTACCATTTAGTCTGGGGTTGCAAATTACTTTTGAGAAAATGTCTATGACACCTAGAAGTAAATTTTGGACTCCATTTTACTCTATAAAAAGTTTCTAGAATGTTTATTAGTTGTTGTTAATTGTTTGATTTTTGGAGATTAAGGCGTCATTGTTCCTCTGTAGATAATTAACTCTCCTTTCTATTCCTATTTAGCTTGACAGTATGTGTATCAGAAGTCTGCAAGAATTTTTTTTTTTTTTTTTTAAGCAAGGTCTCACTGGCTTGAACTTACTTTGTAGCCCAGGTTGGCCTCAAACTCTCAGCAGTCCTCCTTCTTCAGCCTCCTGAGTGAGTGCTGGGATTACAGGCATGTGCCACCACACCTGCCATAGAAAGTCAGATTAGCAAGCCTCTTCTTTCCAAATTTGGAGCTACGTTTTCTACTTTTAATTGAATCACAAAGCCACCTACAATGGTTTACCTCTGCAGATATAACTCTCCAGTTCCATTATATGTTTGCAAAGATTTTTCTTATAAGTTATTATTTTTACATAAATTTGCACCTGTTTGACTTAAATAATATTGTCTACACCAGTATTGTACATCCTTTTTTTCTGTGGTAGATTCTAAAATATTGAAAATGATAAGCATCATCAGAACATCATTTATATTCAGATTTTGTTCTTAATAGATCCCAACTGGATTATTAAAAAAAAAAAGGAAGCTGGCCTCCTGAGTGCAAAGCACCTTTTTAAAATAATATTTTGGAGACTAGTTTTGTAGTAGACCATATAACTTTTGTTTTTTAAATTAGATTTGCTAAACTGAATTGCATTTCAGAAACCCACTTTTAAAAAAGAAAGTAAATTGAAATAACTGTGTTACATAGCTTGCAGTAGGTTTGGTTTGCACAAATCTTAGGTGTTTTCTACTGGGCCAGGGTCTTCATGGAAATACACTCCCAGAACAACTTTTTCCTGTTAAACAAAGAGATGCTTTATTAACAAGCACACATAAACCTTAAAGCTCTGAGAAATTTAAATAGACAAGCATCTGGTCTGTGCTGTCCCAGGGCAGAGAGACTCCTCTGCCCTTAGTTAGCACCCGTCATTGTGTGGGTTTGGTGCCAAGAGTGGCAGGAGGGTTGTTGGGTGCAGGCCAGGGAGCCAGGGGACAAAATCCCTGTAGGGATAGAGAGCAGATTTCACTTCTTACACCCAGTGAATTACTCATTCTTTCCAAGCCTAAGTTTCTGTCTGCTTCCTTCTTCCTTCGCAGGGAAGTGATGCAGTATTGTTAGAATTTGCAAGCACTGTTGATACTAGTTCAAAAATATGCTGTATGAGTCCAGGTTGTTTTCCTAAAAGATGTTTTCTCTACTGATCACATCGTAGCGGGTTTTCTGTCATTCTGTTGTGAAAAGCTGTATGAATCATCTAGTGAAGTCTGAGGCAGAAGCTATATGGAAGGCTAAATAAGTCATGTTTCTGACCAAAACACACATATAGTCACGTATGTGATACACACAGAATATGGTCATAAAGTCCTGAAGCTGATTCTCTTGGGTACTGATAGTAGCTCAGAAAACAGTTCCTAGAAAGGCATTTTATATGGTTTCAGGTATTGTTAGCATTATTAAAGTATGTTGCTTCCCAGGGAGAAGCACACATTTATTTTTATTTTATTAAGTTTTTCACCTTTCCAAATTTTGTTAATCTTTGTAGTCTTGAAGCTTGTGAAAATTAATTTTGAAATAAGTAAGAAAAGGTATGACTTATATGAATTAAAATGTAAAAATACTTGCTTTGTTTGATTGAATGATGTCAATTCATCCAAAAACCATTGCATAGGGGCTGGGAGATGGCTCAGTAGAATAAGCGCTTGCCTGGCAAATGCAAGGGCCTGAGTTCAATCCCTGGTTCTGCAAAAAAAAGGACTCATGGCAATCCTCTTGCCTCAGCCTCCTGAATGTTGGGATTACAAGCATGTGCCAACAAGTCCCACTCTCACAAATTTCTAACTGCCAGTAGAACCACTTCTTACAAATCACCTAAAATTGTAAAAATAATCTGGAGCAAATGTACTTTAATAAAAAGATATATACAAAAACCATTGCATAACATTGAAAAATAACCAGATATTTAAGGCAACTGCTTTGCAAAACAGAGTTCATTTAAATTTATAAGTTCAGACATGTTGTTCTGATCTATTGTTTAATTATTACAGCTTGTATATTTCCATGATGGTGAGCAAACAGATACTATTATTGCTAGTACAATATTATTATGCCAACTGCGAATAACCACTAAAACGACAACAATATGCAATGTATTAATTATTGAAACTGTCCTACTCATCGGTTTTGAAACTGTCTCATTGCTATTTGTTTCTCAATGAAATTATAAAAAAAAATTATTATGCCAAGGGCATTTTAAGTCTGTAGTCTATTTTTACTTTAAAGGAATTTCATTGTTTTGATAATTAACCTTTGTTTTTAATGTTACAGCAACATTTTACGGATGTGACAAGTGGAGGAATTTCCAGTGAGTTAGCAGAGGACATAGCAGCTATGGATGCCTCGGTAACGGAGCTTCAAGACCTCAGCAACCAGTTTCGCAATCAGTATTGATCATGCTAGGGACAGTTTCTGGAAAAAGTGTTTTCACCTTCTGGAATTCCTCCTACACTTGTATATCAGAAACACAAGATACTGATTTTTTAAAATAAATTTGTTTTATGGCTAACATTCTTGTTTTTGTGAGATTCCCAAATGTTTGCACTTTCCGAAATATATTACAGTTTTTTTTTAAAGTCCTTAATTCTGTAGGCCCAGTTATAGTTAAATTCAGTATTTATATTATTCTTGAGGTATTTCAGCACAAAGAACAAAATATGAGTTTTCTTTTTAATGTAGGGCTTATTCTCTCTCAGCCTAACATAAATTGGATCATTCTTTGGAAAAACTAAGTCTAAACAGGAAAAAAAAAATTATATATTACAAGTTGGTGGAATCATTAGATTGGCTGCTTTATTGTCCAAGAGTGATAAAAGAATGGATTTGGAAATGGAAACATTTACACTTTTTAAATTTTTGTGTTTGTGTCAGAAAGATACAAACTTGGCTAAATTGGAAGTGTGACTATGATTTAACATCTAAATCAAGAAAATGCAAGAAAAAATGTGACATAACCCAAGTTATGACTCAACTGTTAGCCACTAGTAACCAGGCTGTTACCTCCTCACAGTGTATGCTGCCAGCCCTAGAGATGTTGTTTAACAAGGTTATTATGGTTGAATGCAGCCATAAATGGTGCCATATTACAAAAATGCCAAAGTAAAATGCTTTCTTAGTAATGTCTATGGAAACAAATATTGGAGTCAGCAGCTGAGCTTAATAATCTCAGTACAAAAATCATTGTGAAGAATTCAGTTACTGGCTTGGGTTGCTAGATGTTGGGACCATGCATAAGTCACTTGACCTTTGTTTTTTTCCATGTGAATAATTCTGACTTGTAGCATCTTTGTGAGTTTCGACTGCATTTGGAAATTAAAGTTTCATCATCCATAAATATAAAGTACTCTGAACATTTGAAAGATCTTCTGAAAATTTTCTCTGTAATACATTTTGCTTAGGAGTATTTTCCAGTGCTGTGTGCTCTCATCCCTTAACCATTTGCTTCTTTTTCTGTTACCATACTAAAGAAAAGTTTAACTATGCCTGCATATAGTTTCTCCTATGAAAAGTAGTACTTTTGAAGTCCAGGAAGATGAGAGAATAGTAGAAGTTAACATTTGGGGTCTATTTAAATCTTTTATAGAATCTATTGAGGAAAAAGTAGGTATATGAGTGATGAGCCACTATACAGGTAGATGATTGCATGGATGGATGTAAGAATGTTTTGTATGATTGTCTGTCTGTCTGTTTTTTTGAGATAGGGTCTTGCTATGTAGACCAAGCTGGCCTTGAACTCATCAGTCCTCCTGCCTCAGCCTCCTGAGTGCTGGGATTACAGGTGTGCACTGTCACACCTATCTCTGGAAGAAAGTTTTAAAATGAACTCATATCAGTACCAAGCTGAGTTTACAGTGGGTGGAAAGAAGCTAGTGAACAGGTACAAAGATTTCAGGAATCAAGTGGAAGACTAAAGTACAGCTTCAAAGTTTTGAGAATTCTGGGAAGGTGGTGGAGGAGTGGGCAGCAGAGAAAGATCCTCCCTGAGAGTTGGTGTCCAGACTGGAATGTAACAACATGAGGAAGAGAAAAAGGAGGGAAGAGGTCCCTGAGACCCAGGGAGGTTCTGAAGTGAGAATGAAGCCCATGGGGAGCGCAGAGAGAGACTTAAATGAAGAAGGAGGTGGCAGGCAGCACTTTCTCCCTGAGCCGGGACTCACCGCGCGGGAGGGGCAGCTCTGATGACCTGCAGCCTCCCAGGACGGCTGGTGGCTCCAGAAGCTTCCACAGACCTTAAAGGCACCAATGGAATGGAGCAGTGGAGGTAGAAGACTGCAGTGGCTGGTGAATTATTTGAGTTCAGATGTCTCCCAGGAGAGGGTGACTGGCTGCTAGCCAGCTTTGAGGGGGCCAGCTGAGGTGATAACTGAGAACAGCTGCGGGCAGCTCCATCTCCTGGCTGCTGAGCTCCAGTTGGCAGGCTCCGGGAGCTGAATTCCAGCCAGCAGGAGGCACATGGGCTGTCGGAAGCTGAACAAGTCCAGTTCCAGCGTCACAGCCAGAAGCCAGCCTGAACTTCAGTGGAGCTCAAAGTTCAGGCTTGGTGGGATTACCCACTACCCTACCATAAAGCTGAGGCTGGCTTGCTGGGATTAATCAATTCAGACCTGGATTCTGTCTGCACACATTATCTATTGTGATAGCAGAGACATGCCTTGAAGTGGACAGTTTTTTTTTTTCTCGTTTTTGTTTTTTCTTGATTGTTCTTGTTTTTATATGAGTATGAACACAGTTTCTAGCTTTTTTGTTTTGTTTTTATTTCTTCCTTTTCTCTTTCCCTGCTGTCTTTTTCACTGGTTTTCCAAATCTTCCCTTTTCCTTCAGCCTTAGTTCTAATCTCTTTCTCTTCTATTTCTCTATTTTTTTCCTTTACCCATTTAAATTTTCTTCCCCATGAGTAAAATTGTCATATCAAGGGCTTATTTACTGCATACAACTTTCTGGTTTGTTTTAGATTTTATTATATAACCACAAATCTAGTTCATATGGTTAAAGGTGGCAAATTAATAGTTACCACAACTTGTCATTTTCTAGGCTGTGTTTAATGCTGTTTTTACTGCTAATTGTACTGTCTTAGCCAAGGTGGCATAATTGTTCTAATCAGTTGTTCTTCCTGGTATGCCAAGGCTGAGATGGCCTCAGGGTCATACAGAGTATTGTAGGCCACTGCCAGAGAACCAGGGCCTGGCCCAAGTAGGCAGCAGCTTTTCATCCCCAACAAATTGGTGAAGTAGTATCTTGCAGCAGACTCAAAATGCAAAATCCAGCTATATCTGGAAGATACCTTTGAATAGACATTTCCTAAGGGTTCTGAATACTAGTAGTAAAGCTACTTGCCATAAACAGTTTACAAGCACCAGCCCAAGAATTGAATGAAGAAAAAGAGGAAAAGGAGAAGGACAAAGAAAATAAGTCAGTTAAACAAGATATAACTCCAGACTTGCAGCTCACCAAAGGCAAACCCAGGGGGCATTGAGGTAGAACAGTTCAGAAGCCACCCACTTGAACTCTTAAGTAGTAACAGCAAAGCAGCAAAGCAAAGCAGATGAATAGGGCTTTAGGAAAAAAAAAATAACTTCTGAGGTCTGGGGGATAACTCAACCGCACAAGCACCTGCCTGGCAAGCTCAAGGTCCTGAGTTCAATTCCTGGTACAAAAAAAAAAAACAAAACAGGTAACTACAAAGATGATGACCATAATGAAAGACATACTTAGTGACTAGAGCAGATACAGATTTAAAAAAACAAACAAACAAAAAAAAAACCCAGGAAAATTATGCAAAACATGAATGCCCAACAGAGGAGAGAAATAGAATCTATGAAACTGATTCAAACAGATACCTAGAAGATTAAAAATTCCATCAGAATTATACACTACTCAGTGAGCCAATGTGAGTACACAATCTTAGGTATGGAAGAGGAGATTAAAAATTCCGTTTAAAGTATATACAACAGAACAAGCCAATATGGGGCAGAATCTTAGGTGCAGAAGACAAGATTGTGGATAGTGATCATAAAAAGAAGGTTGGTTCAGAATAGCAAGAGACCAGAAGAAATCAATCCAGCAGCTGCTAAATGATGCAAAGAAGAGTAACATGATTGACTTGAGTCAGTGAAAAGGCCAGATATAGCACAAGTGATATGTGTATTCTGTTTACAGAAGTAATGGCCAAAAGCTTCCCAAACAGGAAAAAAAGACTGTAGCACACACGTGATAAGGCATATGGAACTCCAACTAGCTGGGATCAAAGGTTAGTAGATTGTTCTCCCTACTGTTGTAGGTCAAAGTTTGTAGGAGATTCCTTTTTGTGGGGTGCAGGGATTACTGGTCTTTGGACCCAAAGCCTTCACACTGAGATAGATTCCTGGCCCCTTTTTCATTTTAAAATTAAGACCTGGGCTGGAGCAATCGCTTAGCAGTGTAAGAGTCTGCTAGCAAGTACAGGGTCCTGAGTTTGATCTCTGGTACCAAAGTAAACAAAACAAAGAGACTGTCTTGATGAGTCACCTAACAAATGGCTTGGCAGTCTTGCTAAGTCAGCCCCAGTCGCAGGGCTGGACTCAACTTGAAATCCTTTTGTATCAGCCTCCCACAGTGTTGGGATTACCGGTTTGCACCACCATATCCAGCTTCCTGGTTCCAACTTAACCATGGGAGGTTCTCACAAAATACAGCTGTTGATGTCTACATTTGAAGAACCTAGAGCTATTATATTTAATAATCTTAATTACATGACTGCTTAAAATTGAAGAAAACAGTGTGGGGAGGAAATACTATACATATGGGGTTTCCCAGTCAAACTCATCATTACCACCTATGAATGCTCCTGAGTTACATGGCTCCATCTTTAAAATGGGTGTGGTGACAATAATACCGCCCTGGATTCTTTGTATGTTACATGCTACTTCCTCCCAGCCTCAGACTTAGTAATGCATGTCTGTTTAAACAGCTCTTTATCACGAAGGGTTTTGGTTCTTTGCATTATTCTGCTATGCTAACTGCTTATATTTCCAAATGACTTACCTGTTATAAGTTTTAGATCTGGTTTTTTAGTATCCTTTTGTTCTCAGCACTATTCCTTTGCTTTGCCAATTAGAAAAGTATGAAAGATGTGATCCTTTAGCTTTATTGTGTTTCCACAACATGAGTAATAATGTGAATGATAGCTGCAAGTTAATTGAGTTCTGATTTTGTGTCAGCAATTGTATATAGCATCATATTTAACCCTCAGAAGAGCCTTACTAGCCAGGCGTGATGGTGCATGCTTGTAATTCCAGCACTTGGGAGGCTGAAGCAGGAGGATTGCTTGCTATGAGTTTGGGGCTAGCCTGAATTGCATAGCAAAACCCTGTCTCCAAATGATAAGGAGAGAAACAAACAAACAAACAAACAACCTTGTTAAGTCTTTTTTTTTTTTTTTTTAAATCAGTGGGAAAATAATTATTACAAGCTAGCAAGAGAAATAGACTGACTGGCTCCAAAGACTGTTAAATGCAACATTTTTTTCTACTTGCTTTGCTGAAGCTTCTAATAGCCAATAGCAGTTTTCTCTTTCTAATAATGGAATACCTGGACAGTTTGCTTATCATTCTGGAAGTTCTCCATACTGCCTGGCAGTGGGCAAAGAGACACCTTATTGGTGGTGTTGTTCTTATATCAGTCAGGGGCAGAGCAGATGACAGTCCTTTGTCCATCCTAGCTTGATGCATGGGTTGGTGGCCAAAGCTGTTTTATGCCTCGGGTACATTTAAAAATAAAAAGTTCTCCAAGAGAAATTATTTTGAAGTCTTAATTGATAATTACCTGTAATTTACTATGATTATTACTCTTTTTACAAATATTTTAGGGCTGGTCAGATAGCTCAGTGGACTACAGCACCTGTTAAGGCAGAGTGCAGGGACCAGGGTTTGATCTCTGGCCTGCAGTGCCAGCTCCATCACTGGCCCATGTTGTGATGGGCATTGAGACTGGGCGTGGTGGAAGGTGCCTGTAATCCCAGGCTGAAAACAGGAGGATCACTACGAGTCCCATCTATGTAGTGAGATCCAGTAGACTCTGTACTAAATACTATATATATATTTTTTTTCTTTTTTTTTAGTGAATTCCTTGTCAGCATTTTTTCAAAGAGGTAGCATAGTGAATGGGCCTATATGAGTGGAAAGGAATAAAAATAAACTCCAATGGAATGAGAGATCCTGTCTCAACACCCAAATCGAAACCTTAGGAAGTGTGGAGAGCAAGTGCCAAGTATGAGATGCAGAGCAGTGAGGTGGAGGGGTTGGAGCAGAGAACTACAGAGCCCCAGAATGGGTTAGGAGGCCCATTTAGGGATGGTGGGTTTAGTGCAGTGTGGTTAGAACCCCAAATATTGGAGGCACTGACTCTAATTGCTCATTAGGATTGTTCTTTCCATGCTGTGTGTCCGTTGGATGTGCCGCTAGCATGCTGTTCATGTGCAGAAGTGTAAAACAGAAATGATCACAAGTGTGTGTAGCAAATCCATTTACTGTCCAACTGAGCGGAAGTATGACACAGCAGAGGTCTGGCCAGCTGGGGCTATTGATGACCATTTATCCAAGTTATGCTAAATCTACTACGTTAAAATCCTAGCTAAATGTGATAAAAAGTGTTTCTCTCCCCCTCCCCCATTCTGTTTTAACATCTCCATCAATCTAAATTGCTGTTTAGATAAAGTAACTCTGCTTTACTGGCCAGGAGTGGGGAATAAAACCCGGCATGTAGATGCAGCACACTTCCTTTCTGCTTGTTCGTTTCAGCAGACTGCAGTGCGGTGGCAAAGAGCCTTTATTCAGATGGTGGATACCGTGCTGTGGAAGTGCAGGTGGATTTTTCACAACATGCACAAGTGCTTATAAATAGGTTTCAATCAACAAGTCGCTTATTCAGGCATGTGCTCAAATATAGTGGCTGCATTCATTAGACAGACATTTCAACTAATCCCAAGACTATACTAATAAAGGAGTAATCCCTCAGGGACTTAGAGGTAGTGTTGGTTTGCTTTTAACTCTTAGAGGCTTTTACAGTCCAAAGCCTGATAATAATTGCAGTGAATTTGGTTTTCACCAAATGAACTTAAAGGCTGAGCTTTATCTTCAAATTTATCCTTTTCTTGTTTTTGTTGATTGCGGTGGCTTAGTAAACAAAGAGGTGCTTTTTCCTCTGGATGTATAGTTTGCAGCAAAGCCAATTTAAAAATCAGTTGTTCGCGTGTTTGTGTGTGTGTGTGTGTTCTCATTATTTCATCATCAAGCACTTTCTCTTTCATTCTTAGAAAGTATCTGGTTGACTGGACTTTGTTTTTCTTTGCCCTTAGGATAAACAAGAAGTTAATGGTCCATTTTGAGAGTATTTACAAGCTGTTCTTGTAAGAGTTTGACTTTGTATTTAGGCATTTTTCTCCTCGAGCTTGCCTTCATTCAATAAACTCTCCTCCTCCTGTGTTATTCAGAGCTAGCCTTAATTAGTTTGCTTAGTAAAACACCAAAAATTTGTCCCTTGCCAGTGATGTCAGATCTGCCTTCCTTTTTATTATTCTGATTTTTTATAAACTGCAGTGACCTGTGAGTCAACCTCACCATCTCTTGGCCCTGCGCCAACATTGTGATCTATGCAAAGGGAATCCTGCCAAAGGCTACAGTGTGGAAGACTGGCATTAGTAAAGTGGTCTTCTGAACAGCATCAGCCATTTTTTAATGTTTTGTGATATTATTGCCCAAAAGAGGCGGGGGTGGTAGATCATGTTAATGTTGTTAAGGACTAATCTATGCCTTGCTGACTTTCCAGATTGAGGGCTCCAATGAATATTAGTGTGGTAGTTATATAGGATTATTATTGTACAGTGCTGCTTACACACACATGCTTCTTGAAGACTATTATTATGGCATTCAAGTCTCTTAACCTCTCCGAGCCTCAGTTTCCTTACTTGTAATCTGTGAGTAATCTGCGTCATATAGTTGTTATGATAAGGTCAATTGAAAAGATGCATGTATAGTGCTTTGAAAGTAGAATTTAGTAGATAGGTAACGCGAGTGTCTCAGAAACTATCGGATGATGCACACTGCCACAGTCTTTTCTGTTTCCCACTGGGCAGCATGATAACCGTGAGCACTACTGGGCCATGACACCAAACTGTTGCGATTCTCAGCATTCTCATTCTGTAGCAACCTTTTCCGCACCTCTGGGCTGCAGTTCCCTTTCTGGGTATAAGGAAGGAAGGTAAAGGAAAGAATATGGTGAATTTTTGTGAAGTGGAGGAGAAAGAAAACCAAGTTTATACCATCAGGATTTTGGAAAGGAAAAGGAAATGATGATAAGGAAAAACAGGCCAAAAATAAAAGAAGAAGAACAACAACAACTAGAGAACTAACTGGGCAGAATGTACCCAAAGGATAGAAGGCTTGAGCTGTGGTCCGAGCTTCACCTCTTCCTAGATGTGGCTACATCTGAGCCCCAGAACCTCTCTGAGCCCCAGTCTCCTCGGCTGTAAAAATGAAATACCCGCCCTTGCAAACCAGACAATTTACCAGATGATGCATGTGCAGTGTTTTGTGAACAACTGTGCACAATTAGTTCTTGTTATGGTCTAAAGAAAGGAGCATTGTGGAAGTCTCCAAGTTCCCAGGGGCTAGCGGAGTCCTGGACGGGGGCATCCAGCAACACGGCTCCAGTTTCTGTAATCCTCCTGGGGGTCATAGCCCTGGAGTTTGGGAAACAATACTGCAGAATGTCTTCGGTCTTCCGTGTGCCCTTCATCACTGCTTACTAAAATCACTTTGGCCTGCAGATCGTCTGGTGCCAGGGCTGGTAAAAGCTGCCTTGGTATTTCTGCAATGGTCTGGCCAGCAGATCTGTGTATGCCTCAACAAATCTTTTTCACACCCAAGGTAACATCCATGGACCTAAGGTGTGCTTCACATACTGGCTTGATTCATCAGACCATAATCAGTAGGACATGCAGCTATTGTTTTCAGGTGAGTGTGCCCCATTATGCTCATTCTCCCTTTAAACATAAATCATACAAGCGTTCTATGTTTATCTTCAAAAAATTAGAAACTAAAAATAAACAAAAAGAAAATTTAAATTGTCCAAAATCCTGTAGAAGGTAACCCTGTCAATATGTTTTTTTATATTCTTCCAGTCTGTATTTTAGATAAGTACACAGATGGTCTCCGACTTATGATTTTTGTACTATACAGTAGTGCAAAGGTTGTATGCACTCAGTAGATTTTTTAGCTTTTCCTGGCCTAGCAATATGTGGTGTGTTATTTGGGGAGCCCTAGTCAGCCATGTGGCCACAGGGTAAACCACCTGGGTGCTACAGTGTGTTGCTAAGCTTTTATACTCAGTAGGATAAATGTATTAATTGCATTTTCAATGTAGATATTTTCACCTTGCAGTGGGCTTATATGTGTAATCCCAGTATAAACTGAGGGCCATCTGTATACATATCAGAAAGATTAGCATAGCTCAGATTTTCAACAAAGTACATAGAAGCAGAATTTTCTGTGATACTGGTACAAGATATGAGGCCTAGAGTATTAATAGAGGCCCACATACCATGTATCTGACTATTTTAAAGTCAGAAGTCAAGCAAGAAATTGTTAAAACTTGTTTATGCTTTTATCTTGCCAACTATTTCTTTATAAGGACTTAGGCATATTTTAATCTCAAATTCCCAAAAGATCAGAATTGCAGACCAGAAGAGAGTGTGCAGGGCATCAGCCCTCCCTCAACTTCGCCCTGCTCTGCAGGGTCTCTCAGAGCTGCCCACACTGCCTGCGTCCAGCGCCTCCTGGCTACCCTCACCCAGACTGCTTCACCCTAAGGAAATGCCCCCGAGGGAAGAGGCACACACATCTCCCGGGTGGAGGCTTTGGAGCTCTGGGCAGGGAACTCTTGGGGTCCCAGATACCTGAGCTTGCCTAGAAGCTGGGGGATAGTACATAGGCACATCTCGTCTTACTTTAGGGTAGTAGTGATGGAAAAATGATGCCAGAAATAGGATTTCTTGGGAAGAATACTCATTCCCCATTCCTTAATCTTTAAGAAAGACAAATGTTCTATCCCATGTGCTAGGACCAGAAAAAAAAAAATGAGTTCACTTCTTTCCACTTTACTGCATATATTCCAAGAGAGAAGTGAGACACACTTCAAGAGTCTCTCTCTCTCTCTCTCTCTCTCTCTCTCTCTCTCTCTCTCTCTCTCTGTCCTCTCCCTCTCTCTGTCCCCCCCCCTCTTCCCCTCTCTTCCTCCCTCCCTCCGCTTCTCTGCTTTGATACTATTAATATTTAGCTGGGTAGGTCTCTATCACAGAGGTCTGCTGTTTGCCAGCGCCTCTGGCTTCTACCCGCTAGATGTCAGTAGCAATCCCTACCACTGTGACAACCAACCATGTTTCCCCACATGTTGCCAAGTGCCTTCTGGGAGACAAACTTATTCTTTTTTGAGAGACATTGGGTTAAACAACAGATTAGAAAGAGTTGCAGAAGGAATTAGTGAAAGGAAGTGGCCTGGATAGATTCTATGTCAGAAAGAAGAAAAGTTAGTAGATACAGAGAATAGATTTCCAAGGTATATCTAATTAGAATTCTAGAATTACATTGAAGAGAATGGTGAAGCGATATTTCAAGAGCTAATGAGCTGTGAAATCTTGAGACTTGATTAAAATGCCTGTCAAATTTAGAATATGTTTTAAAATCACCTCAGTTTACACGTACAAATAGACTGCA